AAATATTTGGAATAGTAAGCATTTTCCCCTCTTTGTTCTAATAGCACCCTTTGTTTGTACAAATTTCCCACCATGGAATCCTGGAACCAAGTCTCCGGCGGGAGCTTGGTTTACCAGAATTCAGTTTATTGTTTGGCAATTCTAATCTACTAATAAACAGTACGGAAGACCCGCTTTAAAACTGACAAAAACATTTGTCGTTTGAAAAATCGGATGCAATCGGAAAAGTAACGATTACTTTTCTTCGAGTATAATGGTCGATTACCTTTCTTTGCAAGTAATCGAGTAATACAGTTGGATATTTTTAGAAAAGAGTAATTATGATTGTAATCTAGTACTTTTTTTCGAGTAACTTGTACGAGACTGAGGAGAGCCCTATATTGCGATTAAAAAGGGTGTATTACACAAAACGAGGGTGCTGAACGGGTGATGCCACGCGAGTGTCTGGAGTGGCCTTTTTACACCCTTCAACAAAAAAAGAAAAGGTGATTTCATTCAATATCCTACTTTACAATTATAGAGTCTGTGCTCTTAAAAACAACGGTTCTGAAAGGGTCCAGTGATGGATGCAACTTTCTAGACCAGCCTTGTAACACCCTTAAGGTGGTAAAACTTTTGAGTGTGCTTAAAACTGGCACATCTTAACAGACGAGTAGTTTGCCAGTTATAAACACTTCTTGCAGATTCTGAAAAAATCAGCATGGTGTTGCTTCTTTTCTTTCATTTGTACTCATGTTTTACTGTAATCTATTTTACGTATGCTTTAATTGTGTAATCATCTTCCATGTTGCGTAAGTTTTCGCAATTTTGAGGTGCTTTTGTAAATATATAACACAATAAATTACCCATTGTATATATATTTTATAATTCTTGACCATTAATATTTTACGTCCTCACCACTGCTTGATTCGACAAGGAACGATTATTATTCGCCCCTTATCGCTTTTTTCTTCTTTTTTTTGATTCGGTCATTTTTGTAATATTCGCTTACAAAAATGTCGTACGAACCAATTTCTCAACTCCCTATTGCAGGTTGTCATTCCGAGTGGAACTCGGCCTTCAAATATTGTGGAAATTACAGATAGAACAATACTCAAAACATCATGTGAATTATTACTTTGCGGTACTCATGAAGGATGCATGTGTGCGTGTGAATTTTTTTGTATTGTATTTAACGACATTGCTTTGTCGTTGTTTTTTCATTAAATCTAGATTGATATGATTTTTATTTCGTGTGTGGAATAATGCGTTATTGCATGATGTATTTTGTGTTATCAAATTTGGTATCCCCTCCCCTCATATAATGCCCTTACCAGGTGACTTGAAGTATGTTAAATAAATAAAAAATGATGTAGCCCATTTCAAAGTACGGGATAAAGTATACACACTTATCATCAAACATCGAATTAACGACAGTCTTTCCGTTCTAATATTAAGAACGAATAAAACCGGCGATCGCTTGTTTGTGCTGTGTAGCCCTGTGTACAACGCCTGCTCATATCAAAAACTAAAACTGTGACAGAAGAGGCAACAACCGACCCCCCCCCCCCCCCCATTAGCATTGTTCATTTCTAAAACGAAAATACGTTGTTGTTTTTAGTACACTTTTCCACAGTAAACTTGGACTTATAATTATGAACACTATAGGTATGTCCGCGAGTATGTTCGAACAACCTAAGACAAAACTGAGAAATATTCACGCATCCTCATATTTTACAGACTCAGCCAAAAATACATACTGCGTATACGCAGTATGTATTTTTGGCTGAGTCTGTAAAAGTCCGAGTCTGTGAGTCCGATTTTACACCTAGGACCAAGGCGTTTAGGCTTTTCATGAAGATTTGAATTTGTCAACATATACCTTGCAAGCTTACGCATAGACGTTATAAATATCGGGTGCTTGGGAGAAAATAGGACTGATTTTCTCATTGCAAAGGTGGACTACGCATCTCTCCGTATATGCTCAGTCTCTGCCCAAACGTATCACCGGAATACTCGCGCAGACCTTTCTGTGGCATTTCAAAAATGAGGAGCCCGCGTGCACAGCCTTGATGGTCCCTCAAGATTCTCAAGCGCGCGTCCATTCATAGACACAGAGATTTGTCAAAGAGTAAAGCGGTTGTGACCAGTTGGCAAAGTTTCACAGCTCATCATTATGTTCAAACGTTATCAGAATGAAGCGTGTTCCTGGTGGCGTTCGCCATTCGTCTTCATGTATTCGCGGGCTCCAAGGGTAAGCGTTCCCTTACTGAAAATTTCAGAAAATTGGTTATAACTTTGTAATTGCGCGACGCGAAGCTTTTCAAATTTTGGCCTCTGGTCAGGACCGCTAGCTCTACATTTGGACAGAAACTGAGCATTCGGGGGTGCGTAGTTTATATCCAAAGTAAAAAAAAAAAAAAAACTATTAAAAAAAAAATTTACCATTAGCTCGTTCAAAAAACAGCCCCAAAATGCTGTCCGCGACTCGAGATGTAGCCGCAACCGCGCAGAGCGCTGTCTGACCCGCTTGTCTAACTGAAAAAAAAACAGGGGCCGCGCAACACCTGCTGGAGGAGGCGTATTAGCTTTGCAATTGCGCAGCGCATTGAGCAAAACAAGGGGCGTTAATAACTCGGAACGTACGCACTGAGGGCAAGTGTCAGAGGGGATTAGGAATAATTACTCGACGTCGTCCTCAGTGTCCTCGTTTCGGCGCTAGTTTTTTTGTCTTCGGTCCGGTCTGTTGACTAGGCAGTTTGTCTGCAGGCTGCTTGGGGCAAGTGCGCACGCAGCTTTCGAGAAAGGTCGGTCCTTGACAATGTGTAAGGGCGCGTCTCCGGAGTAAAGAGATTGTTAAGGCACTTTCATAGTACGTTTCCTCGGGTCTTTCCACTGCTCTTTTTTTTTTTTTCTAATGAAGTGCTATGCGACATGTGTCATATATCCTAATAATAGTCGAATTAGACAGAGAAAGCTCGTACAAATGCGCGAATATATAACGAACATCAGACGGACGCCATAAACAAACAAAAAAAGATCTTTTTTTTTAAATTTGGGTAAGCATTGTTTTTTTTTGTTTTTTTTAATTTTGGTGCATGTTTGGGAAATCTTGATACACGTTTTACAGAGTGACCTTCCGTCACATTCGCAAGAAATCTCAGCTGGGTGCGTTAATTTATTTGGTCCTTTCGAGCGTCCAACGGTTAAATTGACTCATGTGGTATTGTCAGCCGGTTATGGATGCCTCCGTGTTTGACAAAAAAAGTGGACTATCATTTCTTTTTTTTTTTTTTACTTGTACGGTGCGGTATTTGTTCTGCCGTGCCAGCCAGCCTGATATTGAACGAATAAATTGCCTATATAGAGTCTTGCTGTTCTTCTTTATACCGGCGAAAGGTTTTGTCAATGGCGTGTAACTTTACGCCTCGCATGCAAAAGGGTGATCCTCCCTTAACCAGGGCAAACGTTGTTAAAGGGGAAACAGCAATATGAGTCGCACCATTCCATTTCTTTAATTGTTTCAGGCGCCAACGCATAAGCAAACCGAGGCATGTTTCGTGCTCGTTATCAAAAAAGAGAGTTTGTTACGCCTGCACGAACATAAAAAAGAGAAAAAAAAGTTATTTTATAGCATTTTTAAGTGTCCCTCGCTCCCGGTCTTCCTATCTTAACTTTTATCCTACACTAATTCGTAGCTTCTGTGTTAACCATCCCATAGAGACAGAGGATAAACTTTATTCTAGAACAAACTTTATTCAGCCATCCCATAAACACAATTTTTCTAATTCTTTACTGATCCGCACTCGTACTTAATCTCGAATATTTGCTATCTTACCGATTTGTTAAACGTTTCTCAGGCTATTCTTGTATTGTCCCGAACATGCAATAAACTTTAACATTACCCTTCATTCTTTATTATTAGTTTTAAAAACTCCCAGTATGTTTGAACTTTCGAGAACGTTTCACAGAGTAAATCGCTTCTTCTGATTACAAAAGTTGGGTCCTCGTAGTGGACCCGAAGAACTGCCACTGGATCAAATGTCAGTGTCCTTAACACGCAACAAATTTATTAAGATTTGTTTTTTATTATTATTCGTTACTCTTTTATTTTTTACGAAATTTCAAAAACAAATATTGGGCCACTTGTTCAGCTGTTTTGGGGGAAATGATGTCGCCTCATATTTTAAATGATCGCAAAGGGGACTCTCGAGAGAGAGAGAGAGAAAAACAGTAGTGGAACAACTCAGTGCGGCGCCTTCTTTGTCAGCATGATCAAGTTTGTATACTCTTTTTTTTTATCTTTTGCTTCTGGCTTATTCTAGAAGCTTGTTCAGACATCTGCGTTTAAGTACGACCGATCGTGTTACGACTCCCTGCGTATCACTACGACGCCTCGCGTGAACCTATAGCTCGGTTGCCCTGTACACGTACTCTGAGATATCTGAAGCATCTATACTCCCCGCAAAGTATACTTGGTAGAGTCAATCGCTGAATTTTTTGGAGGAGGTTCGGAGGAACAACGAAGCTGAAAATGTGCAACGATTGGCTCTACCAAGTGCTTTGAAAGAAAGTACACGCCCCAGATTACTTAGAGTGATAATCAACCCATACTAGGAATCGGAGACCACAAATCACAAGGAACGGATACACTCCTAGAAATTTGGAGCTTCTATATTTCCCTCGAAGTACTTGGGACAGTCAAAGTTAAAGTCAAAGTCAAAGGGAATGTGAAAGTGTTTGAAATTAATGTCCGTTGGGCCGAAAGCATCCAAAAGGCAGAAGCCCGTGCATACAAGTCCCGGCTGCCTCCTCGGTCCTACGTTAACAAGTAATGGATGATTATGAAATGGAATTGGTAAATATAAGAATGGGCGAGTTACGTGCAGCTTCGCGAACGGCGAGGCTGAAAATAATGTCTATACCTAAAAATACCGTCTGCGCCGCGACACTGGCCATGATGAAACGTCGTCTGTGCACAACGAAGAACGCATCGAACTCACGTTTTCTGCTCTTGGCAGGGACCTGCAGCGCTCCAAGCGGACGCTGGCCGTCAGCGGCCGACGATGCGGCGCCGGCTCCTGCTCTCCCTGGTGCTGGTGTCCCTCATCGGAGCCGGACAGACCAACGAGATCTTCTCGTCGGTGTCCCACATGAACGACCTGGTCTCCCTGGAGCGGAGGCTGGCCTACAAGGTCGGAGACTTCCTTCACCGCATGGAGACCAAGCTGGGCTACCTGAGAAGGTGAAGAGTCGGCCACCGAGAGTAGCTTACATAAAGACGCAATCACGCTGCCCTCACATCAAGACTGTCCGCAGACACTATTTGAGGCGTGTATCTTTTCCTTTAAGAACGGTTCGGTGACATGGGTCACACAAAAGAGAGTTTTAGGGAACCGTTTTTGGCACTTCTGATACAGTACCATGGGCCCTCCGGTAGGAACTACGCATGAGCGAGTCTTTTCTGCGGTAACAGAGTAGCATTTCGTATACCGGAGGGCCCATCGTACCGTATCGGATGGGCAAGAACGGTTCCCTGAAACTCCCTGCTGCACTTTTCTTCGCATGACGCAAACATGCTTCGAACCGTTTGCAGACATCTTCCAAGCAAGGCCGTAACCAGGGGGGGAGGGGGGGGGGGGGGGGGGTTAGGGGGTTCTGACCCCCCCCCCCCTCCCCCGAAATTTTTTTCTGGGTACGGCCCTGGTCGGTGCACTGGCAGCCAGCCGATTTTAATCTCCACCTCTGCGCACGCGCAGTGGCGCCGGTCGGCTACCGGGTACCAAACCGGGACCGGTTCTCCGGTTTGCTGTAACTCTCCATTATATGCCACCGATGCACATGATTCATAGGCGAAAATAAGACAATAGACACTCTCAAAATGGCCACCGTTGTACCCGAAACCCCCCCCCCCCTCCCCCCCCCCCAAAAAAAAAAACATTTTTCTGGGTACGGCTCTGCTTCCAAGCATACAAATGTTTAAAGCAAACATGCTTAAATATGCTGGAGGCGTGTCCTCAGATTCTTCTGACATCATGCCTGCAGCAAACACCGAGGTTTTTTGTTTGTTTGTTTTGTTTTTTGTATCATGTAGGAGGTCTCCACACCGATCATGCGAGTTTCTCTATCATTGTTTTTTTTTTTTTCAGCTTCGTGCGTAAGTTTCCGTTGCTGGCAGGTTAACAAACGCGGGGTACGGAGAATTTTGGGCATCTTATTATCGTGCGGCACGAACTAACGAGATCGCGAAGATAAGAACGTCTAAGAACAAACCACCAAGCAAGAAGCGTGACCCTAATAAGTCGCATCCTTCACTTCTTAAGCTGGCGGCGATCATGCAGTGACTCTAAATGTTTCCGACTTTTGGGGAGATCTGTCGCATCACTGAATACCCCTGAACACCTCACTCTGTGTGAAGACTGCAAAACACGCATCTTCCAAATTACGTAAAGCTACGATGGGCATCCGGGAGCATCTGCACCATGGTGATTCGATATTCTGATGAAACCTAGACCCGCGTTAAACTTGGTAAAATGCCAATGTGTATACAATAGTTTCCCCACGTTCCAATATGACTCTTTGGAGTGTTAACCAGGACACAATGATGATCGTCTCTTGATCGCAGTTTCTTGAACGACTACTACCAAACGACCGCGACGCAAGACTTGCAGTTGACGTCTTCGGAAGAGTTATTCGGAAGTAGCACAGCTAGTCCCATTGACGCCTACACCACCATCAAGAGGCTCTCGGTGGACTGGAACGAGATCGTCAACCAGTTCAGGGAACCTGACTGGCTAGGTGAGTAAGTCGATGACTAACTAATGACTCGATCCGAATGAAGTGAGGATCTGTTAACTAAGAGCGCGGAGAAAGGTGAACAACATTTTAACATGGTGGAACATGTCGCTCTAAACAAGGCGTAGGTTAAAGGTCGCCCTTCAAGCCGTACGCTCTGAGAAATCTCAGGCACCTACCTCCCAGCAACGCACTTGAGCGAGCCAATCACCCCAATCTACGTAGTGAGTTTGACGAGTCACGAGGCTGAAAATACCGTATTTATTCAAATATAAGTCGACCTTTTTTTTTTTTTTTTTTTTTTTCGGAAATTGGGACCAAAGAATTTCGACCTCCATTGGCGACCAAATTTTGCGACGCTACCGGAGGCATGAAGCTATCGAGTCGCCGAGCCGGCTTGCCGTAGAGCCGCGCCGCTTCTTGTTTCAAAAAGCTTTTGGTAAACAACAGAAATGGCCCGCCCGCGGTGGCTGGTGCCGCTATCGCGCGCACCGCTCCTACGTCGGATTTCGCCATCGCGCCTCTAGTGTTCCCCTTGCTGGGCAATGGGGAAGGAGAGGAACGCGATGCGCGATGCACTTTGCCCTCCATCCTCGCTAAACAAAAAAAAAAAAAAAAAGATGTTTTTGTTAGTTGCTTGAGGCGGCTCGGCTCGCGTGTTGCTCATGGCGACACGGCGGCTTTGCTTGCGTCTTTGTAGCTTCTTTCCTCGCTTCGCACCTTTTTTCGTTTCTTGTCGTTTTACAACGGTGTCAGTGAAGTATTGTTGCGAATTTGCGAGGATGTCTACGAAGCTGACGAAGCTTCGGACGACGATGACATGCCCAGAAGTTCTGACGGTGATTAAGTTTTTGGCATCGCCCCGTGATTTAGCTGAGAGTGATGTAAATAAAGGTTTGTTTCTTCCTTTTGCCCAAAATGTCCCCTGTGTTAAAAATACAAAAAAAAAGGTCGACCTATATTTGAATTATTTTTTTTTTAAATTTATTCTCGGTGGGTCCAATAAATATGGTTCGACCTATTTTCGAGTAAATACAGTATATCTGCCGACCTAAAACCCAGTCTGTGTTGTGAAACTGAGCGTGTGCTTTGGACGTGCTCACTTGCTGCGTTCGCATGGATGGGACAGCAGCGGATCGAATCGAAAGAGAACCAATCACACGCGCCCAGCCCCTCTGTTTCTTCCTCTTCCTACCCAATCAATATCGTAATATCTCGATTCGACACGCTGCGCTTGCATTCGTGTATCGGCTGCTTACTTCGTTTTGCATTACGTCCAGACGCAGCCGATGCAACAAGCTGATGGGACAAATCAAACACCGTCAAAAGAAGACCAACATTGTGTTCGTCATGTGTCTGTACTTGTTCTACTATCGCTGAACCAATTATGTTCAGAGAAGGACCAGTGACTTACGTTTTTGACGCTGCTTGATGTGCCCATTGGATTGTGCCGTTGACTACGGTCGAGCTTAATATGAAACGGTGTTGCGGGCAGAAACTCCGGGAGAGGAGGAGACGAGAGAGACACCAAGCTAAGCTTCATTTGTCTCCACAGCACTGCTCGAACGCGTTCGAACGCGAACGCCGGACGCCGGAGTTCCGCGTTCGAACGAATTCGGAGAGTGCAGTGAGGACAACAACAGCTAGCTTACGTCTACCCCCTGATCGTACCAACAAGAGCTCGGCGTTCGGACGACACTCTGCGCTCTCGTCTCCCCTTCTTCCTCGGGTTTTCGCCCGCATAGTGTGGCCGAGTTCTATGATTGTTTGACATGTGTCTTTGTTGTTGTTTTTCTTTCCCCATTATGTTCAGAAATTGAGCGGCTCATGATGGAGTCGAACGACACGTTTCCGAGGCAGACGGATCTGGTGGACGCTGGCGAAGCCCTCATCCGTCTGCAGAAAACGTACAGGCTCAACCTCACTGACCTGACAAGGGGCATTATCATGGGGCACCAGTCCATGGCATATCTTTCAGGTGCGTTCTCTCAATCGGGGGGTGGAACGACGAACTGTTTTCGAGGCTCCCTCTGACAATCAGTTTTGCTCGCGGTGTTGAGACGTGAACCACCGATGAGACCTATGGTCAAGTATTGTGCCTTCTGCAACTACACCCCCCCCCCCCCCCCCCAATCTGTACTAGAAAAACAAATTATGTAAGATAAGCCGAAAGTAAACCGGATAGAGAACCAGATATAAAGTAGCTGAATAGTTCTTCCATGAACAGGAGGGATTTACCAGGCTCAAAGATAGCAATCGAATTCCCATTCCTGTCAAAATGACGTGATGAAGAAGTCAGAGTGGTCTGTGGCCTGATTCGATTGCTGTAATCGATCAAGTAATTCAGACATCAAGCTTCGCTGCGCACGGGTTTGTAAATTTTGCGGACTCATTGTTCTCCTCCTCTTCCAGCTAGGGACTGTTTCTACTTCGGGCAATTGCTTTACAATAAAGCCGACTACGAACACGCAACGCAGTGGTTTCAGGAAGCCTTGACCAAAGTGAACTTCGAGAAGCAACCATCCATAACGCCGAGGTCCATCCATTCCTATCTTTCCAGCAGCCTAGAACTGGTGAGCGATTCGAATATTTTTTTTAAATTCCAAACATGATTCGTGAGTTACTTTCTTTTTATTGACATTTTATTATATCTGTTTCCTTATTTCTATATTTTAATTTTTTATTTATTTTGTACGTTTTCACTAATGACGGTATTCAGACATTTCCATCGACCCTTTAGTGGCTTCTATTGTAATGCCCGTTGAGCCACGGCATTGATTTCTCAAAGGGGGAGCTACATTCATTGTGCATAAACGAAAGCAATAAAACGAGTTTCACTTAAACCGCAACAAACAAGCAGCTAACCCGTTGGGACAAATAGCAACTGACATCTGTTTGTCCGCACACTTGCGTTTGCCTACGACCGAGATCTTGCGATACCGTACGACGAAAGAACACACCTGCACGATGGCGCCATCTATTAGGTTGTCCTGAAACTGCATTTCACCAGAGCGAAGGTTTTGCATTATTTTCGAGATCAAGTGTGCGTACTATAAAAGATTGTCACGTTTGTTTTTGTTTTACTTTCAAGCCAAAAAAAGAATGATGCGCCAAAAAGAAATACACGAAATTGCCATGTGTACCACGGCTGCCCGATAGCTGGCGCCAATATGTCCTGTTGTAAAAACAAATTCTAGAGTTTTTAAGGCAGTTGGTGGTAAGCGGTAGCAAGTGTTTGAATCATCCTGTACGCGAAATGTTATATCAGGTATACTGCCAGTCTTTCAGCAGGGATGGTTGAGGTTGTAATATACGAGAGGGTAATCGAGCCTGGCTTGTAAAGTGAACCTTCGAAAAGAATGTATAAAATATGCCTGGCCACGTGTGAAAACGCGAGTTCTAAGCGATTTCAAGATTCTGATACATACAATCTCGCCTAGATGGAGGAGCAGCAACGGAACGAGGAGGAACGCTCCAGCGATATGAGTGAGCATATTTATTGTTCTTTACTTTTTTATACATTTTTTTCCTTTTTTTTTTTTTTACTTTTAGGTGATTTAGTTTCCACCTCGCTAATGACGGATGATAGTTGCTGACTGCATAAGAACAGCTGGGCGTAGCGAGCTTTGAGCATTCCACTGTCGTTCCACTGCCAATAGACCCTTTTAGAGCGCAGCTCTTAGGCGCCCGTTTCCGGCTTCAGCGGCGTCGCCGTCGCCGTCGGCGTAACGCCGCGTTGCATCATGGGACGTTTCCCATACTGACGTCACACGTGATGTCACACGGCCCCTAAATTTGGCAGGAAATTTCCCTGCTAAATTTCGCTAAATTTAGCGGGTAAATTTTTTCGCCAAATATAGCGGGCGATTCTTTCCGCTATATTTAGCGGGGAAATATTCCCATTAAATTTAGCGGGGGAATTTACTGGGACATTGTACCACAATTTCTTGGTAAGTTCCCCTAGCTGCGTACCCTTCCATCCTCCTCCTCAAGAGCTGCGCTCTAATATCGGCATTACATAGAATTCTAAAAGTCTTTCATTTTTTCAAAAGTTCACCAAGCAACATTGTCCGCCGCCATTTCGTGCACAAAAGTCGTGCGATTTGATCCGAGTCGTCGTCGAACGCTGACGCAGTCCTGGTATCCCCTATATGCTCGGTACGTGCACAAACAAATGGCGAATTAGGATAATTGGAGCAGCAGCTAATAGATGGCGCGAACTCTTGAAAAGGGCCTATTATGTTGAGGCATCAGCCATTATGGAGGCCTAAGAATTGATTCCGAAGATGGATAAAAGAACATAGTAAACCATGCCCTGCGTTGCTTTCGTTGTCCAGGACTATGAGGAGCGCAAGTTCGTCTGCTTCTTGTGCAGGGGTAGCGGTGACGTCAGGACGGCGAGCTCTAATTGGCTCTGATTGGCTCTGATTGGCTCTGATTGGAAGGATAGTGGGTAGACCTCGATGGGCGCGTTAAGTCCGCGCTCCTTTACTCCTACTCCGACGCTCCGAGTTTCATGCTCCGAGCGCAGCAACCAAACGACGCATGGGGTACAGGAGCGCGACACACTAAGGCTGCGTCCCAACCCTACTCGAATGGATCCGAGTTACCCTGGTGGATTATGTCACGTGACAATAAAAACGGAGAAACGCTGGACGCGGGTAGGTTTTCGATAACAACCTTTACCCTAGAGTTAGATCGAGTAAGTTTTGGAACACGGTAAAAACTATCGACGAGCCACACGAGCTCCTTCCTACCGTGAATACGGGTGGCAGAAGCCGAAAATATTTCGAAGATGAATTATTAGGCCCGTGTGGAGCGGCAGAGTCTAAAGCAAAAGAGGCAGCGACGCTATGAAGTTTCTACAAACGATTTAACATTCCTGAAAGTTTTGAAGATTCGATTCGTGCACATATGTGGAAGGTTACCTTGGCCGATCTATTTACTGACCATGCATGCTGTACCGATTTAAATTAGAGACAACATTCTTGAACCCGCTCGTCGACGCAGGAAACCCTCAAATTTGTCAGCGATTCCGAGGTTCCGTCGGTTCCGTCTCGCAGCGAGACGGAAGCCACGCCGATACCGGCACACCGTCGTTCGATAGCACGTCAATTCGTTTTTAGACGGTATGCATGAAGAAATTTTTCCCGCAACGCTAGCTGGTGTTTCGGATTTCCAATCTAAGTATATTTATTTGCTGCGGCTGGGGCTAAGGAATCTAAGCAGGGCAGCGGTCTGACTGTCTTTTCGTTAGAACTTTTCTGTCGCCGACATATCAGCACGCTACCCTTCGATAGATAAGTTTGTTTTCAGGCAAGACGCACGAACAAACATTTCCCTCAACGCTCGCTGATGTTTCGGCTTTCAAATCGAAATATATTTATTCGCTGGTTTAAACATTATAAAAGGGATCAGAGGGGTCCGAATCCTCATCTCGACAACTTTTCTGTCGCTGTGCTATCGGCACGCTACCGTTTGATAGATGATTTTCTTTTTCAGGCGAGATGCACGAACAAACATTTTTTCGGAACGCTAATTGTTGTCTTGGCTTTCAAATCAAATCGTTTTTTTACCTGCTGTATTAAGCACTAATCAACAGAAAATGGGCAGCGGTCCGGCTACGCCTTTCGTCTCGACAGTCTCAACAGCAGCGCAGCCATTTTGTTTGTTTACGTGACGTCACGGAGCGCGAAGAAGTCACTCGCGCTCCGAGAGATTCTCGGTGCACGAATAGCGCGCTCGAGTGTCAGTCTCCGGAAGGACTCCTGTCCGTTTAGTGGAAGGAGCGTCAAACTCTCGCGTTCCGGAGCACGGATTTAAAGCGCCCAGCGCTAGCCACCCTGATGGGTATCAACGGTATAGAACAACTCAGTTGGGAAACTGCCATAGAGCCCGCTCTGAAAAAGTGGCACCGATTCGTACTCCAGAACCGTTCTAATAGGGACTTTTCGTAGATGGTTTTCGCCGTCCTGCAACGCCCTCCGCAATCCGCTACGGTACCCGAACTCTACAGGCAAGGCTATCGACGCGCAGGCGCAGTAGCAACTTCTTCGTTACGGAGGGCTTAACGGAGGGGGAAACGCGGTCTACGAAAACCCCCTAATGGCTATCGCATCGCCGCAATTTCTCCCATAGCGGCCGCTCGGGGAGTTAGTTGCACTGCGGCTTGTATTAATTCGGGAGTACCGCTTTCAATAGCGTACAATGTGACCTTTCTATTTTGGCTTTAATGGGCCTTTTTGGCGCCGAAACATTTACGGGGCTTTCAAGGACGCCACCCCCATTTCCCAAGCGGCCGCGCCGCGAGTTACTACCAAAGTTAGGACGCACCTAGGTCGGGACACGCTACCTGAAATCATCGGTAAGACATGGTTGTATAAAAAAAAAGTATTAATTGTAGCGCAAAATCTTGTAAACTAAAGATTTCAGAAAACATCATGCGCCTGTCATTCTGTACTAATCTTCCATAAAAGTTCCTACAAAAAGATGTTTTTTCCATTTGTTTTTACGCAAAAAACATGTTTTCTAAAAGCTCATGGTGACCACTGTAAAGAAGAAAAGTTGAGCAGCCATCTTGGCACCTCGAGCTTGGGAGTTTCGGTATTCTGGGAACATTCAGAGCAGTAGCCATATAAAGCAACTTTCATGTTTCAACTCGTCGCTAACGGGTGACGCTGTTATCGTATTTGGCTCGGTCTCGGTGGACGCCAGCGGTCCTGGTTTCAAGGGTGAGTTCCTCCCCGAGTATTTTAGTAACGTTGAGGTCTACCCGCTATCCTTTGAACCTTAGCCAATCAGAGCTCGGCGTTGTGACGTCACCGCAAGTGTTGTGGAAGAGGCAGACGTCTTGCTCTCCGCGTATAACCTTAGCGAAAGGGTCGAGGCAGTTGTTGTGGGCGCCACAGAGCAACCAACCTGCCGTCTGCTCTTCACTCTGAAGAAAAGACCCGTCGTTGATTTTCTTCTGAACGCTCTTCTTACCAATTACGTCGAAGAGCGGATGGATCCCAGAGAATGTCGAAGCTCAGATTGTGACCGGAACTGAAAAAATGTTGTGTGCGCAGGTTAACTGATCGTGCACGTTTTGCTTGCTCATTGTTCCAGGGCATATCGTATTTTCATAGGTGTAATTGTGACATTTTGTCATCCCCTGGAGTACTTCCCTCGTTCGCAGTGACTATACACATCTTTCCGGCTTAATTACCTGCATGGTTTTTGCGGGCGCGGGAAATCTCGAGCTTCCGACCAAAGCTCAGTTTTCTTCCGATGAGTTTTCCATCATCGCTAACTCCATTCTACTTAGTTTTGTCCGCCAAGTAAGCAATCTGATAAGGTCACGAAACTGCATACTAGGGATTAGAAATTGTTGCCTATATCTAGTCGCTGATAGTCGCTATAGTCGCCCGAAACGCTAAGCGTAGCGAGTTCTGGGCTTTCTTATAATCGCTCTGCAGGCAATGAAATGGCAGCATTAACCGATAGGAATGCCAAGGGGTCGACCACAAAGCAAGAAGCATACACATACTATACAGTCTATTCAGGAACGTTGGCGCTTTTTTTTGTTCGCGTACACGCTTTTCGGGTCACATGGTTCTCATATATCCATTCATGTCGGCCACAAATAAGTTTGAGTCAATTCCCCTCAATTTTCCTGAAAAAAAAAATTTCTTTGGTGCTTTGAGAAAAACAATATTATGCACTATGTTCTGTCATCACCACCATGACTTCATCTTAAGTCATACTTATCTAGACATTTGAAGAACAAATTCGTACACTCCTAAATTGTATTATCTATTGTGGAGTGACGTAATTAAACGTGTCTTTTGTTATATTCTTTAGGTCATGACCTGCGACGTTTTTCAATCGCTGCTTATTGTTCTGGCAACAAGATTAGCTTAATTTGCTTTAATTAATTTATTGCTGAAAATTTGTGTATGCGGAGAAACGAGTAGGTTAATCTGCACAAACGGTTGACATTTCTGACCCTGGAAAGTAGGGTGACAGAGGGACAGGACAACACGGGTTGTCTTTGTCCCTCTATCTCTCCACTCTCCAGGGTTAAGAATGTCAGTTTTAGCCAGCTCGCCGGCACGCTTGCATTAACTTCACTAATGCTTCTTTGCAGAGCGTCGTCGGGGATATTTCCGTAAGCTATTTCTAATATTTACAGCCGATTTTAGTCGCCTTATTTTCGCATTTTTTCTAATATCAGTGATACTTTTCGTTTGGCGTATGTAGTACATGGCGTCGGACAAAAAGGGACGCCATTCGCTGTTCACTCTAAGAAATATGGAGCGTCCACTTTCCTGCAAAACACTTGAGAGAGCCGATCTCTGCCTCCGAAAATGATGAGGCTAAATTGAAAGTATGCTTAGACTTTAAAAAAAAATGGAAGCGACCTTTATCTTTGTAATCCTATATAATACATGAAATGCAGTATTTAATGTGTGATCGTTTAAAATTATTTAGAAGAGTTTAAACCGTCGTTGCGAGGAGTAAACACGAACTTTCTTTTTTTCGATTTTCCCGCTACACGGAGCGGAGAAGCTGGGTGAATAGGTCACATGGTTTTCTATTTCACTGCTAAATATAGCGGGCAAACTAAATTGGGCGCAGAGGACACGTGACGCGTCAGGTCACGTTAGGCCAATTTTCTCGTTAAATGTAGTGGGTAAAGTGAATTGGTGTACAGGTCACGTGACATCGATTGACGTCAGGCCACCTGAGCCAATTCAGCTCCGCCGCTAAATTTAGCGAGAAATGTACGGACGGACGGACAAAACTTTGGAATTGGAGGCTACGTTAGAAAGCAGCTTTAAAAGAAGTCTGGGTTGCAGCACTGAGCGTGAAATTTCACCGTGCTCAATGTTAAAGTGCAGACTGTTTTTTTTTTTTTTGTTGTTTTTAGGCCTAGAATCCGCATCCACACTTAAACGCAAATGTGTGAATACGCCTCCACACTCAAACACAGTTCTGTGAACCTGTTTCAACACTCCAACGCAAATGTGCGAGCTGGCCTTCACACTCAAAGCCAAGTGTGTTAATCTGCATCAAACGCAGACGTGTAAACCGTCCTTTACACTCCAGCGCAAATTTATTAACTAGCCTCTACATTCAAGCGCACATTTGTTAACTAGCCTTCACATTATTCACAAACAGAAATGTGTGAATCCGCTTTCTCAAACGCAAATGTATGAACGGGCTTTCACATTCAAGCTCAAATTTGTTCACTAGCTTTCACATTCAAACGTAAATCTGTCAACTGACCTCCACATTCAAACGCAAATGTGTAACTCCGTCTTCTCAAACGCATACATGTGAACCGGCCTTCACACCCAAGCGCAAAGTTGTTAGCTAGCCTTCATTTTTAAGCGCAATGGGTGAACCGACTTTCACATTCAAAAACAAAAATGTGCGAACCTGCCTACTGAAGCGCATATCTGTGAACCGGCCTTCATATTCAACCGCAAATTTGTTAACCGACCTTCACATCCCAGTTCAAAGACGTGAATCGACCTTCACATTCAATCGCAAACTTGTTAATAGGGGATGGTTAAAATTGCGCACAAATAGAAAGGTACAGAGAAGAGGGAAGAGAGAAGAGACAAAGTCTCTTCTCTCTTCCCTCTTCTCTGTACCTTTCTATTTGTGCGCAATTTTAGCCATGCTCAATCATTACCAACTCGCCCAACTAACCACTTTACTACTTGTTAATAGGCCTTCACATTGGAGCGCAAATGTGTGTACCGGCCTTTACACCCAAACGTAAATGAGTGTACAAGCCTACACGTTCGAACGCAAATGTGTGAACCATTCTTTGCACGCTTATGTCCCTCCTGATCAGGCGCCGAAGTGCCGTGTTCCCAAACACCGCAGAATGCTGGGAGAGGATACACCGACGCCTTCAGCGCACTTTGCCGAGGAGAGAAGATTCGGGTAAGACGTTGTTGGCATACCACCAAAAAAGCAAAGTCTGCTCCTTTCCCTCATCACTAGTGGATCCACGCAGAACCGTCTAGCTCGCGTCAGCGTCGCCGTCAGCGCGTTTCGCGGCGTCTCACCAGCAGCGCGACGCTTGCTCGCAGCGACGCCAAGACGCAAACGCGTCGGCCGCATGGCGGCGACGCGGGTAGATAGACCTGTGTGCCGCTTGGAGTGGATCGGGAATCCACTAGAGATGACGTCATGGGCAAGCCAGGGCTCTTAGGTAGTATTGGGCATGGACGCTTTTATCGCGAACCAGCTTTTGAGCCACATCAAGCATACTCCCTGTTTTATACCTAACCGATCTTCGCAGCCTCTAAAAAAAATCTTTAGTAGACCATGTTTCCCTCTCCGCTAACCCCGCAGCGCCTTGTTCGTCTACCTTCTTGTTCTTGTCCGTGTCCCTTAGTCAGGAAATACCAACTAGTCCAAAATTCTACGTTAGCCTCCGCTACGAAGAAACCGCCACTGCGCCTGCGCGCCCACGGCCTTTGCTGTAGAGTTCCGGGTAGTGTAGAGCTTAGCGGAGGGGAAAACACGGTCTACTAAAACTCGCTAATGACAAATCCACGCAAAAAAGACTGCGTTGGGGAAAGCCCCGTTGGGGGGGGGGGGGGGGGGGGGGGGGGCGGGGACGGGGGGGGGGGAAGAAAAGTAAGCTGCGCGGTTCATACGAGATCAATAAGCTGTCGTGCGACCTTAGTGAAGAAGTTAAGTGAATGGAAAGAAGCAGCAGCCTAAAATCGTCTAGAATTAGTGATAATTTAAGGAACTCCAGACGTGGCGAGTCGGAAGCGTCTTAGTATCGCTCTGCACCCAATCTGGTCGCGGCATTAGGCGAAAAAAAACGCCGTAGAGCAAATTAAACAGCAGGAAACGAACATAACACGCAACGCCCGGAATTACTTGAACTGTCAGTGACGTTTCTGACAGCTTAAGAATTGCAAGGCTTGTGTTTCGCTCCTTGCTTTTTGATTCGTTGTTCAGCATTCTGATCAGCAAAGTCAGAAACCTTATTGCTTGTTAAACCCTCCCCGCCCTGCGTTTGTTAAGCTGTCAGCGGCTGCAGTTACGTTACAGAGCACAGCACGCAAGACCAATACCTTCGAATATCTGACCTGGAGCACATAACCTCAACAGTAATCCGAGTTAGGGAAGAAAAAAAATCGCAGTTCACTTAGAGTGTCTCAAAGCTGCTTGGCCGGCAGACCTCCCAGAGTGGAGACAACTCTTTCGTCTGCTAGTGGAGCCGCCATCTTACCTCCCACCCTCTGTAGGCCTTTATGACTTGTTTACGCAGTTATTGAGCATTGCCGCTAGTGAAATGACGCGCATGCAAACCTTTAACAACACGCGTTCCATCAAATATACGTTTGTTTTTAGCGTTGGTCAGAAGGCAGGAGGCAAGTAATGGCCGCGGTACGAACTAGGCGGCAGTTGCCCTCGTAAAGGATGTCGCCAGTCTATAGCAACGCGCCACCGGCGAGCAACAATGAGGCACTCTAAGTTCACCACTTTAACGCGTGACGTCCCGATAAAGCTGGTCACTCGTGCTCGAGTCACGTTGAAAGAGATCGTGCTTTTTATACTTGCTCTTACATCGAGGCTTTAAAGAACAGAGGTGGTGCGCACCAGATCGTCAGCTTAACCATACTTCAGACTACAAAGATTTTCCTTTAAATGTCTCGTTTTCCTGCGCGTTTCCTTTTAGATATATATATATATTTTTTTTTTTTTTTTTTTTTTTCAGAATGCGAGCGAAGAAAAAGATTTGTTCTGCATGTACGACGTGCCCCATCCTTACTTCAAGATTGGACCCGTTAAAGTGGAACAGATGAACAAAAACCCTTACGTGGTCCAGTTCTACGACGTCCTCTGGCCACAGGAGATCAAGGCTTTCCGCAGAATGGGAGATCCGCAGGTGAGCGCCAAGGCATGCATACGGAAGCCTGAATTCACTCTAAAGCCGCGCCACCACACACGTGACCCTCGGCGGACCACGTGACCTCACGGGGGCCCCGAGGTCACGTGACCCCCTTGAGGTCACGTGACCCTTCTGGTGTCACGTGACCTCACGGTTACGCCTACGCCGACGATGCTCAAGCCCGAAACGGGCGCCTAAGAGCTGCGCTCTAAAAAAACGACAAACTCCGCGTTTCACTATGCTCAGTATCACAGCGCAGACTACTTTTTTTGCAGCGAAGCTGTATACCTCTACCAGCCAAGGAAATTTTCGTGTCGTTGGCGTTGTAAGCAAAAAACCAGCAAAACAGCATATCTGCTTTGAAATCGGGCATACAGCATACAGTTCAGTATCCGTTTCAATAAAAATGAGGAGTAAAGAAGACCAGGAAACAGGCATCAAAACCACATGATGGATGATAAGGCGCGTGTGACCAATAGTAGCACCCTCCCACGCGTTCCGGCAAAGATTAGGTTTGCAGCTGCTTTGAAATGGGTTGTTGTCATTCGAAGCCCTCGTGTGAAGTGCGAACCGGATAATGGATGATAACGGCGCCTGTGAACAATGCGAAGCACGTTCCTTCTAACCGCGTGTGTTTTCGTGTCGGCGTTTTCACGGAAAAAAAACGACTTCAGAAGATTGAAACGAAAAGTGCCAAAACCACGCATACAACATACAGCACAACAATCGTTTCAATAAAAAATAAGCACGAAACAAGCAGTGGATCGTGTTTATTAAAGCACGATGCTATATATATAAATATATATATATATATATATATATAACGGGCATGGTGGCCGGAGGCCGAAGGCGTGGGTATAAAACTGAGAAGAAAAAAACCCTTAGTGAAAAACAGCAACAACGGACGATTTAATCTTCGACGTTTCGGCCGGAGTCCGGCCTTCGTCAGGAAGCTTCCTGACGAAGGCCGGACTCCGGCCGAAACGTCGAAGATTAAATCGTCCGTTGTTGCTGTTTTTCACTAAGGGTTTTTTTCTTCTCAGTTTTATATATATATATAAACTTTTTGGGGAGTTGTGCCCCTGGCCATTATTATTGCGGAGAATGTTCATGAGCTTGCCTTTGAGACATGGTGGAGGAACAAAAACTTGTTTTAATCAAATAAGTTCTATATATTTTATTTAAATCGTATTATTTGTTTTAAATTTCTGTAGCTAGGAAATGATGATTCTTTACCAATAGATGTATTTTTCAACACGGCAGATTGAGTGATCGAATCGTCCGATTTCTGATAACAACAACGCGGTACAGTTAAAAGGAGTAAATGCGAAGTATACTTAAATTAAAATATTTCTTTATTTCTGCAATCTTGGTCACATATTAGAACAAGAACAGCTTGATGTGGTAGTCAGTTAAGAAATATTTATTTTATCTTTTTTTTTAGCTTTTACTTGACTGCAAAGGGACATTACTTTTCTTGTTTTTTTTTTTTTTTGTTTTTTTTTTGCGTTCAGATTTTGTTGCGAATCGACGTTACGTAGCTGACGAACGGAGTGGAAGTATAGAAACCAGGCTCAAAGCTCCGATTTGCTCAGAAGAGCATTTCTTTTTACTCGTGTTCAGCCTTAAATAAAGTTTTCTCGTTTCCTGATTATTCGCTTTACATACAAAACAAACGCAAATAGAAAGCATGATGATAGACAAACAGAAAATGATAGACATACGGAAAATTCAAAATGATAGACAATCGTAAAATTTGTGGGAAATTCTTTATTTAAATTATCATAGTAAAATTAATCTCACTTTGGTCACTCTGTAAATCATACTGATCTTTATTCTTCACCCTGCTACAGGGTATCGTTGAATGCAAAACAAAAAAAAAAAAAACCTTCAAAGTGCTATAATGCATATGCATTTTATGCATTAGAGCACCTTGAACGTGAAGTTCGCTGCCATAAATTTAGCGGGAAAATATACCTCAAATGACACACCAATCTCCTCACCCATTACCTATGTCTTATAGGGTACTGGTGAGAGCATTGGTGAGGATATTGGTGTGTCACTTGAGATATGTTTCCCCGCTAAATTTAGCGGGGAAACTGAATGGTTGTGTAGGTCACATGTTGTATGGTCACGTGACGTCGATTTCCCCCGCTACATTGAGCGGGGAAACTTGCGTCTACGCATAGGTCGCGCGCCGTCAATTTCCCCGTGGTGTATAGCTCTCGTGACGCTACGTGACGTCACGTTACGCCACTTTCCCCGCTAAATTTAGCGAAAGATGGACGGACGGACGGACGGGCGAACAAAATTTTGGAACTGAGGGGTTAGCGCTAAAAAAAATTTCGTGCTTTAAAAGGCACCTCCTTCGGTTCTGTTCGACAGCTGGAGCGGGCGACTGTGCGGGACACGGCAAGGAACACGGTGTCCCACGGGCGTGTGAGTCAGGTGGCCTGGATCAGCCCCGACTCTGACGTGCTGCTGGATCGAGTGAACGCCAGGGTTGCCATGCTCACGGGGCTCTCCACAGACTACGAGAAGGGAGACTCGGAAATATTTCAGGTGAGATGATGACGATGACGACGACAACGACCGAACTACGTCCTCAAAACGTTTGTTTCTAGAAACAATGAAATTTCATGTCTCGGATAGTAGTGATTATTTCATATTTACCGGAGAACCTCCATAAACGTATACATCGAGTAGTTTAGCGGTCAGTAAACGGCATAGAAAAAATCGTAAGGGTGCAGGTGAGCTGGTGAATATTAACCATGTTGAATTAACCTGAGACTGGGGTAGAGAAGAAACATCAAAACGTTTTGATGTTTCTTCTCTACCCCAGTCTCAGGTTAATTCAACATGGTTAGTAAATGGCAGGGCTCAAAAAACTTCAACCAAGTGTTCGCCGTTTGTTCTAGATCTGCACTCACATTGCTCGTATACATCACACAAAAACAGATGATGTTCGCATCAGACATAACGAAAGAATAATCTGCGGGCACGCCCGGAGCATGTTCGAATTAAGCGGGTTTGCTTCATGCCTTGGAGCATGTTCGAATTAAGCGAGTTAGCTTCGTCCCTTGGGGCATGTTCGAATTAAGTGGATTTGTTTCGTGCCTTGGAGCGTGTTTGAATTAAGCGGGTTAGCTTCGTGCCTTGGAGCATGTTCAAATTAGGCGGGTTTGTTTCGTGTCTTGGAGCATGTTCGAATTAAGCGGGTTAGCTTCGTGCCTTGGAGCATGTTCGAATTAAGCGGGTTTGCTTCGTGCCTTGGAGCGTGTTCGAATTAAGCGGGTTTGCTTCGTGCCTTGGAGCATGTTCGAATTAAGCGGGTTAGCTTCGCACCTTGGGGCATGTTCGAATTAAGCGGGTTTGCTTCATGCCTTGGAGCATGTTCGAATTAAGCGAGTTAGCTTCGTCCCTTGGGGCATGTTCGAATTAAGTGGATTTGTTTCGTGCCTTGGAGCGTGTTTGAATTAAGCCGGTTAGCTTCGTGCCTTGGAGCATGTTCGAATTAAGCGGGTTTGCTTCGTGCCTTGGAGCGTGTTCGAATTAAGCGGGTTTGCTTCGTGCCTTGGAGCATGTTCGAATTAAGCGGGTTAGCTTCGCACCTTGGGGCATGTTCGAATTAAGCGGGTTTGCTTCGTGCCTTGGAGCATGTTCGAATTAAGCGGGTTTGCTTCGTGCCTTGGAGCATGTTCGAATTAAGCGGGTTAGCTTCGTACCTTGGGGCATGTTCGAATTAAACGGGTTTGCTTCGTGCCTTGGAGCATGTTCGAATTAAGCGGGTTAGCTTCGTGCCTTGGAGCATGTTCGAATTAAGCGGGTTTGCTTCGTGCCTTGGAGCGTGTTCGAATTAAGCGAGTTTGCTTCGTGCCTTGGAGCATGTTCGAATTAAGCGGGTTAGCTTCGCACCTTGGGGCATGTTCGAATTAAGCGGGTTTGCTTCGTGCCTTGGAGCATGTTCGAATAAAGCGGGTTTGCTTCGTGCCTTGGGGCATGTTCGAATTAAGCGGGCTTGCTTCGTGTCTTGGAGCATGTTCGAATTAAGCGGGTTAGCTTCGTGCCTTGGAGCATGTTCGAATTAAGCGGGTTTGCTTCGTGTCTTCGAGCTTGTTCGAATTAAGCGGGTTAGCTTCGTGCCTTGGAGCATGTTCGAATTAAGCGGATTTGCTTCGTGTCTTGGAGCATGTTCGAATTAAGCGGGTTTGCTTCGTGCCTTGGAGCATGTTCGAATTAAGTGGGTTTGCTTCGTGCCTTGGAGCGTGTTCTAATTGAGCGGGTTTGCTTCGTGCCTTGGAGCATGTTCGAATTAAGCGGGTTAGCTTCGTGTCTTGGAGCATGTTCGAATTAAGCGGGTTAGCTTCGTGTCTTGGAGCATGTTCGAATTAAGCGGGTTTGCTTCGTGTCTTGGAGCATGTTCGAATTAAGCGGGTTAGCTTCGTGCCTTGGAGCATGTTCGAATTAAGCGGGTTTGCTTCGTGCCTTGGAGCGTGTTCGAATGAAGCGGGTTTGCTTCGTGCCTTGGAGCATGTTCGAATTAAGCGGGTTAGCTTCGCACCTTGGGGCATGTTCGAATTAAGCGGGTTTGCTTCGTGCCTTGGAGCATGTTCGAATTAAGTGGGTTTGCTTCGTGCCTTGGAGCGTGTTCTAATTGAGCGGGTTTGCTTCGTGCCTTGGAGCATGTTCGAATTAAGCGGGTTAGCTTCGTGTCTTGGAGCATGTTCGAATTAAGCGGGTTAGCTTCGTGTCTTGGAGCATGTTCGAATTAAGCGGGTTTGCTTCGTGTCTTGGAGCATGTTCGAATTAAGCGGGTTAGCTTCGTGCCTTGGAGCATGTTCGAATTAAGCGGGTTTGCTTCGTGCCTTGGAGCGTGTTCGAATGAAGCGGGTTTGCTTCGTGCCTTGGAGCATGTTCGAATTAAGCGGGTTAGCTTCGCACCTTGGGGCATGTTCGAATTAAGCGGGTTTGCTTCGTGGCTTGGAGCATGTTCGAATTAAGCGGGTTTGCTTCGTGCCTTGGAGCATGTTCGAATTAAGCGGGTTAGCTTCGTACCTTGGGGCATGTTCGAATTAAGCGGGTTTGCTTCGTGCCTTGGAGCATGTTCGAATTAAGCGGGTTTGCTTCGTGCCTTGGAGCATGTTCGAATTAAGCGGGTTTGCTTCGTGCTTTGGAGCGTGTACGAATTAAGCGGGTTTGCTTCGTGCCTTGGAGCATGTTCGAATTAAGCGGGTTAGTTTCGTGCCTTTTGAGCGTGTTCGAATTAAGCGGGTTAGCTTCCTGCCTCGGAGCATGTTCGCATTAAGCGGGTTTGCTTCGTGCCTTGGAGCATGTTCGAATTAAGCGGGTTAGCTTCGTACCTTGGGGCATCTTCGAATTAAGCGGGTTTGCTTCGTACATATGTACGCTTCAGACATGACTGCAGACAGTTTTTTGCATGACCAATCTAACATGGCAGCCATACAAGAAAGAAGCAGGCCTCAGACGGTGTCAATCAATCAATCAAACATTTTTTATTTGCGTCCGTACACTAATACATGCACTGGAGGCATGAACAAAAAGTCGACAGATGTCGGCTTGACGAGGTTTACGCCCTCTTTTTTAGCAAACGGCAAGCAATCGAAAGAAAAAGGCGGTCTTTTGTAATATCTAATAGTATTTAGTTAATATAGCAAATTTATATCTTCATTTTACCATTCCTCCAATAGGTTCACTGTTTTGAGTTTCCGAGGGATATACCTTCTCGTTCTCGAAAGAAAAGTTCAAAAACACAATTCGCGCCTTTTTATACTATGAAACAAAATACCTAACTTTGGCGGTCGAATCGCGTGTCTGGTTTCTCGTGACATCTTCTCCGTTTACAGTACAATTCTTACGGACCCGGTGGCCACTACGAACCGCATCACGACTACCTGTTTGAACACTATACACCTGAACAGGTATGTGAAGTTTTTTAATCAATTAATTAGTAAACGTATACCTCCACGTCACTGGAAAAATATTACTTCACCTGTGCAATGACAGGACGATGAGCCTATACTTCGCCCGTACCGAGCAGCTAATAACTCTTTCAGCATAAAATTAAAGCTTTCGTAAACCGAAAAAGAAGTATTTATTTCTGTTAGTTCAACGAAAAACAATTAACCTCCTTTTTTTGGCACACCTAAACTACGCAATGCAGATAGATGAAACTCCTTCAGAATATGACTCCAGTGATGGACGCGAAAATTTAAGAACATGACGTTACCTGAATAAAAAGATAAAAAGAAAATACGAAATTTCTTTATGACTACATGTCCACATAAGCCAAATTTGGTATAAAAAAAAAAAGTAATACTGTGGGCTTATGTAGTATTTATTCCAGTGAAACAAACTTGTCAGCAAGAACGAAGACAATGTTTCCTCTCTTGTTGAGAAGTTTCTTTTACTGCAATAAGTACCACAGGCGCCCACAATATTGTTTCTGTTCCAACGTAATTAAACTTAGGTGGACACTGACTCAAATTTAAATGTTGTCTTTCTTTTTTATCTTTTGAACGTACGTCATCATCTCAAACCTTCGGATCCCACCCCTACCGCTAGCGTCATACTCTGAAGCCGATTCATATTTCTGCGACGAGTATAGTTCATTTAAGCGGGCCGTAACATTGAGTTCTACTTCCTCGATCGAACATGGTACAGTCAGACTCGAATGGTGCCATACTGAATCCTTCTTTCGCTTGATCAACAGAGCGCCCAAATAGCGTTCATGTGATACTTAAGAAAGCGAATTTCATATTTGTAACTTCGGCCGCTTTGCTCAATGTGGCGCAGTACGCCTTAATGCGGCGTTCAGATTTTCAGAAGACACACTTTCTAACCCTAACCACATTTTGTCTTCACCTAAATACTAAACAGTGGCGTAAAGATATGCTCATCTTGTGCAGCCCACAAATTGAGTGTTTTTATTTTGATATCCGCTCTTTGCATCTGAAACAGCATGCGCTCCGTTCGTAACGACCTCAAAGACATAACCGAGTTGCCATCGAAATATTTTCCGCGTGGCTGTAAGCAGGGCTGGCCGATTGCTGAATCAGGGTCCCATCGTAAGCGATATACAGTGACAACGTATGGTTTCATCGTCTTTACAGATTGTCATATATACTTACAAACTTTCTTATTCTCACTGAATTCTTTTCTAGAGAGAAGAGCTGGACGAAGTCGATAAACTCGGCGGAGACCGCATTGCCACTTTCATGTTTTACGTAAGTCCCGTCGTCGTTCATAAAGCTTGCTTTCTCTCTCCATAGCGAGTTTTAGACTACACGGAGAGCAAGTCGTCTGCCACCGCAACCCCTGTGCAAGAATCAAACGAACTTGCGCTCCGCATAAGAAACCCCGGCGCTTTGGATCCCCCGAGCAGCTTGGAGGGCCATACTGCGCACGCGCGGAAGGTCCGCGCATCCGCAGTGCGACGACCCATGGTCGAGCTCCTCGGGACATGCCCAAAGCGTCGGGGACTCGTACAGTTATAAAAACTCTTTAATGACTATCGATGGTCGTCGAGGCTGTCATCGGTGCCGTTGTCGTGGTTACGTCAGCAGCATCCCAGCAGTGCGGACGTGTACATCTGTTTGTAGTATATATTGTTTTCTGTCGATCATGGCCCGTCGATGTCCGTGCACCGCGTCTACAGAATCTTGTAATAGGGAGTTTTACATCAGCGTTGCCGCAGGTTATTGTACAAAGCGGCGTTTCTACCGGAGGCCTCTTCTCAGCGTGCTTTTAAGACGCAGCCAAACTGCTCATGCATCATACAAAGGACACTGTGTTCGCTGCGAACGGGCCTCAAGCATGTTCAAGCATGTTTGCTTCGTACGCATGAACATGCCTGCACAGAGTCTTTTGTATGGTGTATCGATGGTGTGAGTGCGTTGCCGTGCCCGCAGTAGTCTGTGGTAACGCTATGCTAAAACTCTCTAATTATCCGTTGGTAGGTCTGAAAGGACCTCCCGGCGCAATGCTGTTAGACACTGTGAGCGCCCGCATAAAAGTATCAATATTGAGGTCATATAGACGTTTGGACCAGGCGTGATTAGGTGCGCCTAGAGCCGATGAAAGGGTTCCCAAGGTACCGCGTTCCATTGCGTCCGCTTGACAAGTATATAATCGAGCGAATGAAGCTTTATGAGTGGTTAATGTCGGCCATATTGACGCTAGGAGGGAAAAAAATAGACGAGATATTTATACTCGCACGGGAGCTTACAATAGCCGGTGGATCGATACTTGTGCGTAGGTGATAGTAGGCGCTTTAGATTTTTTTTCTTCTCTATGTTTTTCGGTATCAAGTAGGCTCGTGGCTAGTACGACCTTCGTGCAATATTTCCTATTTTCTGGGTGACGTTTCAGCCTCGCAGAGCATATTGTAACGAAAAACTTTCTTTTATTAGTAGATCAGTCGAATTCTACGGGAAAACCGCCAGCTAGAAAAAACCGTCACGAAGAACCTTCATGAAGGACCGTGACAGCACGGTGACGCCAGTCCTGACACCACGTCAAGAAGTCACGCGACACCCCTGAGGTCCCGTCACTGTGACGTTGCAGCACGTCATAATGTCACGTAACGTCACGTCACGTCCTAATATCACGACGCAACCTTATAGTGAGACGTGACGACCTGACACCGTAACGTCATATGACTCAGTGATGTCACAGTCAAGTGACGTTACATGACGTCATGAAATAACGCGAGTCTGTGACGTCACGTGATGTAATACAGTGAACTCACACACAGACAGACGAACGCATACAGCATGTGCTCAGCTCCTTCAAAACAAACATTCTCCGCTCGCCGGTCTTCGTCAGCATGGTCGAGATAGTGTAACTTTTATTTCTCTCTCTTACAGCTTTCTGACGTGAACTTGGGCGGCTCTACTGTATTTCCCTACGCCAAGGCAGGAGTGATGCCAAAGATGGTGAGTCGCCGCTCCCAAATTCGACTCGGAAACGCGCGGCTTTTATATTTCACATCACGACGCGTCATGCTTCTCGTACTGTTTTTTTTAACAGGGTTCAGCAGCGTTCTGGTACAACATGCGAGAAGATGGAAGCTACGACCGGGCTACCCTTCATGGTGCCTGCTCTGTGTTACATGGCACGAAACACGGTACTTGTTGTCTTTTATTTCTCTCGCGCAGTGGGCAGCGGAGATAAAGAAAGGCATGGTGCCTGACGATGCCTCTGCACCGTAACGTTCAGCAGCTGTAGACGGGAATCTATAATACAAATTGCACGTATCTGGAATGAAACAAGCAAAGAAAGCACCCACATTTCAGAAACCTTAATCACACAGGAGTTGAGCAATACAAGAAAACATCTGATAGCTCTGGGATACCGGTAACGGTTCCCATTTCTACATCTATACGCCTGTGTGGTGGGAGTCAACGCAAGGCTATAGCCTAGACATGCCGCGGTGCTCAAACGCTGTGGAAGCTATACTTGCACGAACACGTGAAGATGAGGCGCAAGAGGGAGTCAGGCGCTCTCGCACCGGTGCGGAGCTGCAGGACTGTTAAAACTACGCTATCCTAGACAGCAAGGGTAGGCTGACGTAGCACGGAATAGTTGGCGCCGAGTACGGAGCTCCCTGTTTGTCCGTGTTTCTTTAATTAGCTGCGTGAGCTTTGGGATCCGTAAGATGATCCTGAAACAACGGTCGCATGGTAACAAAAACAGGCAAAACCAGTTCCTCTCTTCCGTTTCTCAGTATCGGCAGTAAAAAAGTGTAGGACCAACGATGGAAAATAAAAAAAAAAAATAAGTTATGTTTTACCGTCTGTTCTGAATGAATATTTTGTTAAAAACATAGATAGTGTGCAATTGTCAAACAGCCAAATATTCAATTTGTTCACTTGATTTTCTCTTCTTTGACCACTGTGTTATATGTACTCCGTCGTAGCTGCTGAATGGGGGGCCCGGAGCCGCGTCAAGCTGCTTTTCTGCAGCTTTTTCTCCGGCCTCCCTTCACCACTTGGTTTTGTGGTGAAAAACAAAGTTCTATCGTATCGTATCGTATCGTATCGTATCGTATCGTATCGTATCGTATCGTATCGTATCGTATCAAGTGGTGGGCCCGTAGTCGCATCAGGCCGGGCATGCACAATGGAAAGCACCACGAGCTGACGTGAACTCGAAAGCGGTCTGCCAAAACTACCCAAAGCAAGCTTTCTTTTTAACCAATTTGTTCCTTTCTTTTTCAGTGGTTAATCTTTGGTTTCGAACTAACGGTCAGACGTTCAAGAGGCCATGTCCCGCGAAAAGACAAGACTCCTGAGTGCGCCCGCACTCGTCTGTGATATTCCCGTGTCCTTCGCTCCCGCTGGGGAGAACGGCCCTTCACGGATTTTTTTTTTTTTTTTTCTAGGCAAATAAAGTGCAAATTGTTTCCTCAAAACGGCGGTGCACGTCCGTTCCATTCACAAAACAAAACAAAAAGGGACCCTAATACTTCCGCTTTCACGAAGGTCACTCAAAGAGTCAATGGGGGTGGCGATATAGACAAGCTTCATCATGTTGACAAAGACCGGTAAGCACATAATGTGCGACAGGCCTTCCAGGAAAGACGAGAAGGGCGTCTCAACGGCACCGCTTACCGAATATTCGCTTTCCTTTCTGACACACGCCGTGAGACAGGAGGTATCATCCATCCCAGTGCCACGACTCAGAACACGGAGCTGGAAACCTCAACACAACGGCCACAGCCCGACAATCCTGCGATGGTGTAAGCTAACTCCGAGCAAGTGTCGATACCACAAGCGGACTCCATAACGGCTACCAAGGGAAAGTTTTCAGATGGCGAATTCCCCCCCCCCCCCCCCCCCCCCCTTATACGCAACCATGGAGCTTTTTTGTCAGCCATTTCTACCTCGACGAGAACGTCCCACGTTCAGCGGAGCAACCTTCAAACAACCCGCTCCTTCAACAGCTACACCCCAGCCGGCTGCAGCAGGTGCCTCGGAGTTCAAGAACGACAGGGGAGCTGGCGCCAAACCCAAGCCAACCGCGGTGCGAGAGCACCCTTACAGTAAGGCCACGCAGTTTGGGATGAACGACGGTGATGCATTACCCCATTTAACTAAGATCTTCCTGGCATCCCCTTTCCTCAGCTTCGCTCAACTTCAGAGGACTGTGTTCACATGCACGACGATTCTAACAGTACAGGCTCCTCTCAAAAGAGCAGATATACGTTGTTGCCGTTCAGGAGACAAAAATATCATCGAACGACAGACACGGCTCGTGCACTGGACCGTTTCCATCCAAATTATGAGGAATATATTAGCCATGGCTGATGGCCAGTCGAGAGTGTGCTTTAAATTTTTGAACAAGCTGGAATATTCATCACCTTCACGTGCCGTCGACGACAACGGAGGGTTGATATGTTGTGATTTCCTGTTACATTGTATCTACTTCCGTTGAATTTCTATTTATGCTTATAAAGACTTTCGCCAGCGACGTACCTTTTTAACTTTTTTTTTTTTAAATCTGCCTCATTTTTTAATATTGACGAAAAGAATGTTGTGTCCGGTCACTCTAATCGCGTGTGTAATATAAATGATAGATCAGCGCCTCTTACTAGACCTAAAAGAATCACTGACACTCCGAACACTGTCACACAATAATAATGAATACCACGTACCTATTCGATGTTGGACCTTTCCAAAGTACTTCTTCCCGGTGCACTCACCTTCATGCTACATTTAATGCGAGTCTCGATCGGATTTACGTTGCAAGCACAGAAGGTTAGGGCGAAAGCGAGCTGGTGATAGTCGAAGGTAGTAAAAACACCCCGAGACTCAAAAAAAGAAAGGACCGACAAAAGCAGGTCTCACGTTGCAAGTTCACTCTTTTTACATGGTATTGCCTATAACGTAAAACCGATCTCGTTTTCAAATAATACCTTTGTAATGGTCCGTGTTGTAACAGATGCTCAACGTAAGCCGAAACTAAAACGGGCTTTACGAAATTGAGCAGGAGACTTATAGAAAAAAAACATTTCGAAAGGCGTCTGCGCGCATGTTTTAACCGCGCAACAACAAATCATAAATTTGGCATTTTTTCTCAGTGGATTCTTTCAAGCAAGAGGTTAAAAATGAAGCAATAGAATGCACGTGCATTGCATCTTTCAATGCAAAGAGTGAATAAAATACCCTTTTAAAAAATATGCCCAACTTTCACGAGCTGGAATGTGAAACACTTGGCCTGTTTCAGGAAGAATGACTTACGTAAAAGGCCAGATACAGCGATACGAAGAAAATAGTTTTCATGGCGCAGTAGTGAAGCGAACTTTATCCTCTGAGACACCTTCGCGTCATGCAATCGACAGCGAGACGCGTAAATGACCTTCAAAGGAAAGACAACTTTTATATGGTACTGGGATATTCTCCCCCGACGAAAACGGCATCATAAAAACATTTGAATTGCATTACCGAAACATCCTTAGACACTAACAGCCCATAGACGACCAGTTAGCAAAGTACTTAATTTATTTGATGTCCCATGTCAACCAGCTTCCATGCGAATCGCTTAGCAGATCAATGACACTAGCAGACGTTTGATGTGCGGTGGACAAGCTGTCGAACTCTAAAACGCCGGGAATTAATGGACTCCCAGCTGATTCCTACAAGATGTGTAAGGGGCAGCTGTGCCCTTTTCCCTCATCTACTAAAGACTTTATTGGAGGCTTATTAAACGGGAGCTTTGCCACCTACGTTTTGTAATAGTAACACAGTTTTGATTTTAAGAAGTAAAGATCCTGACAAGCTCATAAACATCAAAAGCAACTGTATGCAATGTGTACTACCAGATCTTCGGAAAAGTTCTGACGAAACGACTTCAGCGTTACGTGCAAAATTTTAAGTGACCACCATACTTGAGGAATTAAGAAACGATCCACACTAACCAATACAGGTAAATGTACGGTGATAAAAACGTGCACTCTTCATGTTGATCAAGTAGCAATGGTGGACGTAGATTTGACGAAGGCCTTTGGTCGTCTGTCCCATCTTTCCTGTTCGCTATCCTTCCCCACGTAAACCCAGGGTCTACACTCTTGAAAGGTATAGCGGTGTGTTACCTAACTATGTCACCAGGCTTATAATCAATGGCTCTCTTTCAAGTCCAATTTGGCTAGAATCGTCGGTCAAACAAGGATGCACGCTATCACCTCCCCTCTCCCTTTATTTAGAGCCCCTTTGCTTACGTTTACGCAATAGCCCTACTGTGGACGGTTACCGTTTTTACTCCACAGAGGATAAGATGTTAGCAGACTTGGACACGTTACCCCCCCCAAAAAGTTACTAAATACGTTACTCGTTACCGATTCTCAAAAAGAACGAGTATAACGTTACCTCAAATGTAACGATTTACTTTTCTCGTTACTTTGACGGCCAAATACACAACTGATTTTGTTTAATGATTACGCAGTAGGTGTCTCTCAAAGTTTTCATCGGTTATATTTCCCCGCTTCCTTGAGATTACATCTCCGGCGACGCAGTGTTGTGCTTCAGGCTGGAAGAGCTGGGGAATCTTGGATTCCCCTCCCTCTTTTGTTCTCTCTACTTCTAAAGTTCTAGATTAACACTGGAATTCGTGCCTTCCCGTGTTGGCAACCTCCGGATTTACATTCGGTCTGTATACGATGTTGGAAAGCTCAATCAACGAGCTTTATTGTGCTCGCTGGGCGAAGGGCATTCTTAGCTGTAGAGTTCGACTGACGTGTTCAGCGATAAACCTTGCAATACTGTCGTACTGTTTAGTGTTTGATATCACTACCGGCGTGCGGCAGTGATACACGACCGCACACCGGTGCGACGCTCATCCAGATCGAAACCGGCAAGGGTGTGGATCGAACCCAGGGTCCCTGGGTTCTGCAGCGCGAGTTAGTTAATGGCCGAGTGGTCTAACGCTGCAGAACCCAGGGTTCTGCAGCGTTAGACTACTCGGCCACCGATCCCCGCACCGAAACTAAACCCTAATCGAAACGACAATAACGACAGTCACCGGGACTAGTGTTCGCCGTACAGAGCATGGCAAGCGAGGCAATGGGTAGCTTCACGAAGCAATCCATGAGTCACGGTTGTTGTGGTGTTTTGGTCTTTACGGTCGTACACTGCATGCGAACGCAACCGTGGCAAATGTGTGAAACAGCCTTTAGGAAAGGAAGACACCCCAACGCGTGCAAACCCAGGACTTTTCGGTAATTTTTAGCATTTCCGATCATTTTGCCAGTCAGGCAGCTTCGTTTACTTTGTGCACATTTTATAAACGTCAAATACTACCTGCAAGTGTGCACATTCGCACGGAGGAATATGCGATGTCTGCCTAGTGCATTTAGCTACCCATCAAATTCACTCATTTGTTTCCCCTCACTTAAAGAAGAAAAAAAATAGCGCGTGCTCGGTTGCCTTACCAGCGTGTTTCTCATTTATCCCATTTATTAGCGATGCCCTTTTTCATTTTTACTGTGTTTTGAGATAATGTTTTGACGTTCTCACGCGCAGGGTACGCCCTTGAGTTCACCTGACTTGTCGCACACCCACAGGCGTACCTTACTGCGTGAGTTACAAGTGAGGACAAAGAGAGAAAAGCCGTTAAAAGACAAAAAGCGACTGTCAATAAATGATCGTTTAATATTCACACAAGACAAATCACATACAAAGATGAAGACAAGAAAATATATATTGCTACAAGGCAAACTTTTACACATTTGTCCCCATCTGGACTAGTCGCTTTTTCAAGAAACACTCCTGTTTAACTACAAAAACATCCGTAACAATATAACTACTACACATTCCTCGCCATGTACAACCTCCTACACAAAAGAATCCCGAGCACATCAAATTAACCCCTTTTGTTCAGGATGTCGTCGTAGATCCTACTGGTCACGTCTCAAACCGAAAGAGACAGGCAATACGATCCACAGTTTTACAATGCCTTACCTCGCAACGTCTCCCTCGGAGAGAGTCCAAACTTTTTCGACCGATGGAGCCATGGCATTCGTCGCTGAAGATTTTGTTTTCCCGTCGGGACGGCAAAAAGCGTCTTTCCTTTCGGAACGCTGTTTGTCCAATCCACAGCGCAGCAAGATGGAATCTGACGCCAAAATCGTGGTAAAAAAAAAAAGAAAGAAACAAAAATACACAAAGATGGTGTTGGTTTATAGCAGGCCACCGAATCGTGCGGGATCATGGAAAGGTAGCTGTTAAGTATGTAGAAATCCTGCTTATTAGTTAATGTGATTTTTTTTTTTTTTTAAGTTGCTCTTTCCAGAGCTGCGTCGGCATTGTTAATTTATTTTTTTTTTATTTTTTTTTTTATTTTTTATGTTG